GCTACCTGCAAAGTCAGTTCAAAGCAGGAACCATTTAGTAGGGGACATATTTGAAAGTACCATCTGGAAAATGAGCTTCTAACCTCTTTGCTCTTTAAAGGAAACTTCCTAATAACAAAGGTCCTAAGGCTATTAAACATTCAACCCCTAAAATGCAGCCTTGTGGGTAAGGACAAAAATTTTTTAAACTTCAGATGCCCAGAGAGTATTTTTTATATTCCTGTCCAAACTCAGGAACCCAGACATTCCAGTAAAAGCATGACTTTTACCAATAAGAGAAAAGTAGTATTTGCAAAGCTTCTTTAGCAAGGCCTCAACAGACACAGAAGCAAAACCCTTATTTAGACAACCAGGAGTGAAGAGACTGGGGTCTTGTCCAGGCCTTCCTCTTAACTAATTAGCCACGTGATCTCCAACTGATCTCTGAAGCTTATCTCACAGGATAGCAACAGTAAAATGAAGTGCTGGACAAGACCACAAAGGCGCCCTTCCAAGTCCCCTTGAGTCCTGGCATGTTTTCAGAGCAACCTCCAAGCTATGCACACTAAGATAAAGCCAATTACATTCCAAAACATTGCACCCCACAGGCCAAAGGGCATTTTCCTCCCAGTATACAGCATCCGACAATTCCTCTGTGGTCAAGGGTAGGCAAGGGAATATGTGCACGCCCCTGACATACAAGGCCTCTGCCACATAGAGAGGTGTCACAGTGAGTCATCCCAAACCCCTCAACGTGGAGAAGATGGCATAAAGAGAGAAGGGCAAAATATTGACATGTCCTCGTTCATATGTGCTCCACTCACACCAGCCTCTGGCATCAAGAGAATCAGCTGTCAAATCCTTACCACACACAGGATTTAGGAGAAACAAATACAAATCCTTTTCAAGGTAAAACATACTGGCTGAGTTTCTTACTAAAATGGTCATCCAAAAGAAGAGGTTAATAAGTAAAATGACCATCCCAGCAATGGCTGCAGCAGCACTCCCACACAACAGTAGAAAAAGAGACGGAAGCAGCTCACCATCTTCAATCTTTCTAGAAAACGAGGGGGGAAACAAGAACACAACAACAAACTTAAGCTACATTGAGGGAATATTTAATTAGCAATGATCAGGTATTTAGTTTTCAGAATCTGGAGGTTGTGCATATTTTTTTTACTAATAAAACATTTCAAATTCTAATTAAAAAAATACTTTATGGAGGAATTAAAAAGATACAATAGTGTCAGAGGAAAAGCCATGATCCCAGAAGTGGAATATTCTAACAACATAACTTACAAGAAACTACGCTATAAAAACAGATTGTTGATTAACACAAACTCATAACAAAACGCAGAGAGCTATCGCAATGGTGCTGTAATAACACTCGGCTGCTGAATTCTTTCAATACATTAAATATCTCCTTGGAGACCAAATTACTTTACATTTTCTTAAAAGACAATTTATTATAGCTTTGTTTTCTTCTCATTATCTCTTAAAAATATATCTAATGAAGAAAAGAATACAACTTCTAAATAACTTACATAAAATGGCACTAACATGTGACAACAGACTGGCTTAATATGTTGGTTATTATTTAACAACACAAAAACCTAGCATCATGACAAATCCTCACCATAACACAATATTCCCTGTGTCACATGGATCAAAACCCACTGTATGCCATGATTATAGCACTCATAAAATTAACGGTCTCAGGCTGCTTGTGATCTAAATAATTGATAAGTTTTCAATTAAAAAGGCAACATTTTCAGGTCTAATACGAAAATCTATTTAAATTACTGATAAAAACTTACACTTGTATTGGCTCAAAGCCAGAAAATGCTTGCATCTAAGGAGGAAAAAAGTAATTCAGCAAGTTTCAACTCAGAGGTTGCAAATGTGTTCTTATTGTTATACAGAGACAGGCTTTTTATTCACTTGACCTCTGTAATCAGTGGAAACAAATGACCAGAGACCTAATAGTAAAGGTGTTTCTATTTTTGCTTTCTCCCATATGGTTTTTAAAAAAATACTAATGAATTTCATGAAAAACTAAGCTGGCTTTTTTTTTTTTTTACAATAAAAATGTGGTCCCGTCAGTATCTTCCCTATGCACCACACCAAATCCTGGAGTCAAACTTCAGAGCTAAACTGAACCCCAAAATAAAGACCAATGCAATTTTGTAATAATAGGTTGGTAATCACAGGACTATCAATCAAAATCTATTGTAAGATTAGGTTCACATGGTTCTCTTTATGGCAAAATTGGAACCCAAAGGAATTCCAATCCTAAGACACGTCAAGCGACTGCCAACCAATCTTGTTTGCACTTTTGCAGAAGATGCTATCAGACTCTCTGCCTTCCACTCAACCATGGATAACCTGACGTAAATAAAGGGTATGTGGGAGTAGGGGGGACCGCGGCAAGAGACAGCAGAAAAGGGAATTCACCTCAGTTTTAAATGACTTAAAATGTGCTCACTCAGATGTTTCATTTCAAAACATTCTGCTGACATGACATCAGCAAAGTGGCCCTCTACCTTACGTGTGTTGAACTTTGGGGACCTCAGGTTCTCTGCATCAATATTTATTAGTGAATTTATGAGGAAGCCTGGACCTGCCCTGCCAGCCACAACCCACAACCCCATGCAGATCCAGGAGGCTCTCAGCCGTCCACAGTAAAGGAGGGAAAAACAAGGGTAATGTAGTGAGTTTTATGTAAAACAAAATCTACTTACTTTAAAGAAATGATCATCTTCTGAGATCATGTCCTGCCCACTGCATTACTCTTAAGACGACTCCTACTATTTTTCTTCATTAATAAAATAATGGTAATATATAATTTGTATTAATTTACATATTTTATTAATCTTTCTATTTGGCAAAATTAAAAGTTACCATGCCTACATCTGTCCCCTAACAAAAAATGAAAAATCGATTTGATCTTGAGATCCAAACATGTGGGAATCAATGAGATAGATGACTTCTATTCAGACTAAAAGAAAATCTTGGGAACTTTTAAATTAAGGACATGTAATATAAGGTTATAAATCGTGACTCTAACATTCTCCTACAAACAAAACACAAAAATAATTCAACACTGCATTTGAAAAAATAAGCTTAAGTTGTAAGGAATACAAGGTACTGATATCACAGCTAAGGTTCTATGAAAACACAAATCATTGGAAATATAATAATGGTGATGATATTAAAAGATTCCAATATAAATTTGCAAGGAGGAAGGAGAGAGAGTAAACAGTAAATGGGCAATAGTTCTTCTGGCATGAGGAGAAGCTGAGCTCAAACCCACATCCACATCCACATCCACATCCACATTCACAATGGCTCTGAGACCCTGCCATGGTTCTCAGGCATGGCTTCTTCATCTAAAAAATAAACGATAACATCCATCTCACAGAGTGATTATTAAAACTCAAACAAATTTAAGCACCTCAAGTATTTGCATATAACGGGCACTTAGAAATGAAAATAATAAGTATTATCACCATGATCATATCCAGTCACATTTTCAGAAAGCACAATTTGTAAGATTGTACCAAAAATATATGTCTTTTGTGTGTGCTTATGCTGAATACGGAATGAAAATGTACTGATGTCAGTTCTCTGCAATGGACATATGCAAGAAAATCAGAACCCATCTGTGTGTATGTGTATGTTCTAAAAATAAGCATGTCCCATCCTCTGGAGAGTTAGCCCATTTATCAATACTGGTGCTGGATCTTTTCAGCAGACAATCCTACCCCGCCTTTCAAAGTGCTGAGGAGCCCAGCTCTAAATTCTCAGTACACAAAGACTTGCACATAAGTTAATGGGAAGTCAATGGGAAATTGACTTTTCCCACTCTGTACTGGTTGGAATGCAACGCTCTGTTAATCATCCCATCCTTTTTGTTCTCCTTCCTGCTACCCTAAACTAAAACTATTGGCTGAAACCCACACAGTTTTCATTACAATGAAACAATATCCTGGTTGAAGTTGAAGTCTATCAAGAATACACAACCCAATTGCTGGCTCATGGAAAAGCAGGGCCCCAGTAGCCACCATAACACCACTTTGCATTTGTATGGAACTTTTAACTTTTCAAAGGGCCTTCACATCCATTATCCTATCTGATCATCACAATGACCCTGTGCAGCATAAAAGACAAGTATTATTATCCACAATTGACAGATGAGGTTAAGTGATTGCCTGAGGCCAGGAGCCGCAGCAGAGCCCTGGCCTGCGTGGCCCTGGACTTCCAGGCCAGTGCTCTTCCTGCCAGACTATGGGAAGGTACTGTGAGCATCACAGACTCAGATGCAGTAAGATAAAACTGGAGAAGCAAGCCGCAGGTCAAGGCCGTAAACTCTGCCTCCTTGTCACAGGGGAATATTCAAGCCTAGGATGGAAGCTTTAGGCATGGACTCTTTTCTTGTTTCCCTACTTCAGTACCAGACAAACGTTAACTCAAATTTTCACTACAATTTGAAACACAAAAGAAAAGTTGTTTTGGGATCTATTCAAATCACTCAGTAATCCAGTGGCTCATTTTCAGGCGGGGCAGGATGGGTAGTGTATAACAGAACCGCCAGTACATCTTTAAACCATGTATCCATATTAAGCCTGCAGCTACATTATAACCACAGTCTGGAAGGGTGAACGAGATCTCCAGTTGAAAGTAGATTTTGAAAAATTTTTTAGAGCCCAGGGGTTCATTTTTAATGAGCCGTTACTTTAAGTACTGCATAAAAAATACAGCAAATTGATAGTCCATTTAGTCTGCACCATACCTAATACAAAAGTCATTAAGATGCATTCTCCTTAATGTTCATGATATGATCAGTAAGTGTCTTTTGGAAGGAATGCCCTTAACTGTCACATAAGGAAATCCTTGAAAGTCGTATCTATTATATAGAAAAACATGTGGTAACTGTGTCTCACATGCTTCCACTCTGCCCTGGAAACGGCAGCCTCGACTGCATTCCCATTTTAAAACAGTACTCCTTATGACATACTTACGTATGACAGCATGGCCTTCATTTCCTCGTCACTCCTCACTGTAATCCGGTCACCGTCTTCATCTTCATCTGTTTAAAAAGCAACAATGCAAGTGATAAGACTGGTGCTTTTTAAAGCACGGAAGCCATGCTGGGGAGGAACACAGCACAAATGGTTTTTTTATACTGTGATATCCGAACCCTCAACACCACATTTTTGGTGTGTTGGGATTCTTACTTTGTTGTTCTGGTTTGGTTCAGAACATAATCAGAATCTCAATATACAGCTAAACTTTCTTTTAGGTTCATCTGAAAATTAAAATATTGCTCATGTCATTCACGATATACACCTAGGTTAAAGTACAATACCTGGAGTGTGACGAAACAAGTTTGGTTTGGGAACTTTAAAACCAAAGAAGTGTGTGGTGACTCATGCCTGTAATCCCAGCACTTTCGGAAGTTGAGGTGTGAGGACTACTTGAGCACAAGAGTTTAAGACCAGCCTGAGCAACATGGTGAGATCCCTTCTCTACAAAAAAAATTAAGACTTTAGCCAGCATGGTAGTACATGCCTACAGTCCCAGTGACTCAGGAGGCTGAGGTAAGAGGATCACTTCAGTCCAGGAGTTTTGAGGCTGCAGTGAGTCATGATCGTGCCACTACACTTGTGACAAAAGCGAGACCCCCTACTCTAAAAAAAAAAAGAAAAAAGACACACAAAGAGAGGCCAGTCTTGTTCTACTATTAGTATTTCTTAAATGTCCCACTCAGTACCTCAGCCCTCTATGTCTCCATCCTTACTCTCTCCCAGGCAAACTACTGTGTCCCAACCACACGATAGAAATGGCTAACATTTCCTGAACACAAGGCTTCATTTGCAACACCTGCTTCACGACTCCACAACATGGACAACGCTGACATTACATTTCCCTCTCACTGAAGAACCAGGCCTAGTGAGCCTCAGCTGGCAAGGCAGTTTCCGCCAGGCTCTCCTGTGGCCACGGTACAGTCACCACTTACTCATGCACTATCTCTGTCTCTCTCTGCCTCTCTCTCTGTCTCTCTGTGTCTGTCTATCTCTCTCTATGTCTGTCTCTCGCTCCTCTCTGTCTCTGTCTCTATCTCTGTCTCTCTGTCTCACTCTGTCTCTGTCTCTCTGTCTCTGTTTCTCTCTCTTATCTTGGATACTCACTGACTACAGTAAGCATCAAATGGCAAATCATGCTATATCAAAATAATTTAACAGTCTTAAGACCTCTCTTCAGAACTGCTTTAAGAACATGAAAACAGACCAGCTGAGAATAGCAAATCTCATTTTTAACCCAAACTGGAATGGTGGCCTAATCACCCCACCCCACCCCACCACCAGGCAGGTCCCAGAATGACTCTGAATACTGTGAGCTCCTTCCTCCTTCTAAAGGGAAAGATCCGTCAGCCTGAGAACAGCCTGTGTGGGAGACTCTAAATGCACAGCTGAAAGAGAAATGCCAAAGCATGGTGAGCAACAGCCTTGGCCTCTCGAGATGACAACCTAGACAGGGCAGGGCGGGCTCCAGACAGGATGGGCTCTGGGTGAGGAGGGCTCCACTCTGGGGTGCTGGTAACAAGCGCTACCGTGATGTCTTGGTCACTCTTGGGCACATACTGCTGATCTGGTCAGATGCAAAGCACGTTCTGCTCCCAGGCCTGGAGAGCCAGATGCATCTGCCACTGTGAAGAGTGTAAGTGTGCATGCCTGCTTAGGACAGGCTACTCCAACAGGAATCTTCCCCACCACAGGCCAGCAGGCCTCCCTCCTGCCTGGCCGGGCCATGGGGACCAAGGAGGAAGCTCCTGCTCCTTCCCAGGCGGCCTGTTTCCAAGCCTGTTGTCCCCTACAGCAGCCCACAGTGGCTGGACACCACGGGAAGCCAGCCGTGGCCGCCCCACCTGTGGCCAAGCCTGCAGCTCTTGCTGGCCTCCTTCCCAGTGCTCGTTTCTGGACCCCTGGCCCACTTCCACAAAGCTCCCCAGCTCGATGGCATTGGCATCACTAGGGTGCATGTCTCAGCGGGTATTGTCGACAGTCACTACCAGCACTGCACAACCAAGAGCTGCCTACTTCAGGGCTGAAGGCACATACCAGTCACACACGCAAAGAAGGCACGTACTGAGCGGAGTCTCACTCCTAAGGACCCGATGCAAATCCTGCACTTTTCTTTCTTTCTTTCATTTTAGGTACAGACTCACTAGGGCCAATTGGGAGAAATGCTACTCTAGCTGCAGAAAGAGAAAAAGGGAGTTTCTACGTGGGTTCTAGAAATGAACATTGCAAGGCTAAGTCAAAAGTTTTCTTTAAAATGCAGGAGCTGGTCAGGCATGGTGGATCAAGCGTGTGATCTCAGCACTTTGGGAGGCTGAGGCAAGAGGACTGCCTAAGCCCGGGGTTCAAGACCAGCCTGGACAACTTGGTGAGACTTGTCTCTACAATAAATTAAAAAAAAAATTAGCCAGGCATGGTAGAGCACACCTGTAGTTCCAGTTACTTGGAAGGCTAGGGTGGGAGGATCGCCTGAACCTAAGCAGGTCAAGGCTGCAGTGGCCATGAGCATCCCACTGCACTCCGCCTAGGCGACAGACAGACTCTGACTCAAAAAAAAAAAAAAACCAAAACAGGGAAAACCCTTCTTAGAATTTCCAAAGAGAAGGCACAGATTTTGGAAAGATGTTTTAAATCACAATTTCTCTAAATCAAAATTAAAAACAAAGAGCAGAGAGAGTTCTTTGTCAAAGCCAGAGCTTGAACCTGTAAGGCTACTTAAAATAAAGTATTCTGGAATTTGAGATTTCTATGAAATCTCTTGAGGTATTATTTCACAAGGAAAAAAAAAAAGTGAAGTCAGCTACCAGAATGATGCCTTGCAGAGAAGCTCCATAAAAGGCAGCCCTGAAACCCCACAAGGCACTTGCTTTAAGTGGGTAGAACACTGAAGGCCATGGCAGAGGAGCAACGGCTGCCAATCCATGACGGCATGCAGGAGCCACCCCACACAGGTCTGCCTCTGACACAGAGACTTCGGGCAAGTTGAGCCATCCCACTAAAGCCTGGGTAAACTCAGGTTCCCAGTGGTACAACTGACCGCGTTCGTGCAGGTGGCGGCTTCGTCCTGAGCTGTGCCCTATGAGGCGTCCATCGCCCTCTTTGGTATCTGTGCTGTGCTTTAACAAAGTCTCCAAGAGGAGGCTGAGTTGGAAAAGCAACCCCAGCCATGAGAATGCTGACTCTGGCCAAAAGTGAACTGATAGGTGTGGGAAGTCAGTGATATAGTTCAGGACAACAGTAAACAAAATGCTTTTCTGAACAAACGCTGGACACATACATTCCATCTAGGAAGGACTCCAGTTATGTGCCTAGCAAACTGGATTAGCTATGAAAATCACCCCGGCTGGAATCCTGACTCGTACACACTCACTAAAATGTCACATAGAGTTTCAAGGCAGAAACATGTTGGAGAACAGTACTAGGAAGTAGTGAGACTGAGTGGAAAGAAGCAGAAAAATAACTGGAACTTTCTCTGCCTTATACATGGAGGCTCTTTGCCATCTGACCAAGAACGCATTACTGGATATGACCAAGAAAGGGGGGTACATCCCACACTCGGGCTCACGCGCAACTCCAGGCTCCTCCGGTTGCCTGGAGCAAAGTAACACGATTTTCCAGCACATTAGGAAGCAAAAGTAGAACCAGAAAGTCGATGTACTGGCTGGATTTTGCTAATGTCACTTAAAATGGAGGAAAAAATCCTAGCAAGATACCAAATAGAGAGCAGCAGATGGTAAACAAATATTATGAAGCAATCTTCACAAAATCTGCAGCGTGTCACAGATACACAAAATGGTAGAGCTGGGGAGAAGAGGATCATAACAGGCCATATGCTGCCAGCGATTCTGTCAAAAGCAACATGCAATCCAAAAGGAAAGCCATGAAGAGGAGCACAGGCCCAGCAAGGGGGAGAGGCAGCCCCAGGGAGGGCGGCCAGGGTGACCCAGCACACCAACAGTACACCTAGCCCACCAGAGGCTCATAGCCACATGGCACCATGGCAGTGACCGACTCATAGGAGCTTCTGAGAGAACAAGCTCGCTGCTATGTGGAGCGGCAGAAAGTTCAAGCAGTATATCATATGTCATTTGTCACGCTCCTGCGCCAGGTGGGAGTCAATTACAGCAAAGGCATTTTTCCCAGGCAAGAGAAAGAAATGGAAACATAATTGCAGAGGTTAGAAAGCCATTAACAGGAAGCTACCAGAAAAGATGTCAAGTTCAAAGCCCTTCTCAGGTGCATCTAATGATTTGGGAAGACCAGAGGTCACGGTTGCTGTGGCCACACCTGCATATCCATGAGTTTTTTGTTTTTTTTGTTTTTGAGTTGGAGTCTCACTCTGTTGCACAGACAGGAGTGCAGTGGCCACTCCCGGCCACCGAAGCCTCAACCTGCTGGGCTCCGGCAATCCTTCCACCTCAGCCTTCCAAGTAGCCAGAATTATAGGCATACGCTACCACGCCCGGCTGATTTTTTGATTTATTGTAGAGATGAGGTCTCGCCTGCCCAGGCAGGTCTCGAACCCGCGGGCTCGGGCAATCCACTCACCTCAGCCTCCCAGAGGCGCGGGATTACAGGCTGAGCCACCGAGCCCGGCTTATCCATGAGTTTTAATGTAGCTTGCTGCCTCCTCTCCTGAGTCTTTCCTTACTCTTTCCACCTTCCTCATCTCAAAGTACCCACCATATAGTCGGCATTGTTCTGGGCACTGAGATAGAACAGTGAAAAAAGAAAATTAAATCAAAGTGAAAAAAGAAAAAAAAGCAAACCAAAGTCCTGCCCTCATGGAGCTTACACTCTAGAGAGAGAGAAGACAGTGAGGAAGTGGATCATGCAGTATCTAGGGAAAGTGTTCCAGGCCAGCAAGCAGCTAGTTCAGAGCCCTGGTCAAGGAACAGATGCCTGGCACTCCAGAGATAGTGAGAAAGTCAAAGTCACCAGGACAGAATGGGGAGGGGGAGAGGAAAAACCGATGGCTCCAGGGAAGGAGTGGGGGATGAGCCTGAGT